TTTTTTTGTATTTCTTGTTAAAACCCCATACTTTGTTAATGACTCAGTTTACTTACTTGTTCCATGATCTCTGCAGTCCTGTATAAGTATTAAAGTTTTCCTAAATGCATCCCTTGAAATTATCTGGTGTTGGAGGTAACAGAGATAGTACTAGTATTGATGGTACTGAAACTTTACCCATTTTTCTCATCTGTATCCTTTTTTAGGCAAATTGCTATGTGCTTAGGGCAGAATAATTGTGTATTTATAATTTTGGACAGCCTCTGCGAAATCAGTTGGTGTCAGCTTAGTATGGCATCATGATTTACCCAGGACAAAGCAAAGGAAAGAACTCAGGTTTTCATATTTGTGTTACGGAAAGCAGTGATTAAATGGTCAGTAGGAAGGAAATGTGACCTTTTTTAAAAAAAAAAAACCTATGATAGCAGATCAGGTTTTTTTCAGCAATGAATTAGACGGAATTTCCCAGAGGGACCAGTGCTAGGTTTTAGAGGGGATATAGCCATAAGTGGAGGTCATTTTTGAGCTGAATCTTAAAAGTGAATTCCGAGTCAGACAAGAATTTGGACAATATGTGCAGGCATGGAAGAAAATAAGGAGTGCAAGGGCAGGAGACAAAGTCATGTAACATAGGACGTAAGAAACGGTATGAAATTTCACTTAATACAATAGTGTAAATTCGTCAAATATTTCATGATCTTTTGCATCAATGAAAAACATTTGGGTTTAAATAAAAATGGGAAAAAAACATTAACCAAAATCAGAAATATTTAGTAATATCAACTCATGCATAAAAAAATAATTTGGAATACAAACTCTTAAAAATTAGGGGTGTGGGGCTGGCCAGGTGGCTCAGTTGGTTAGAGCGTGTGCTCTTAACAAGGTTGCCGGTTCGACTCCTGAGTGGGATGGTGAGCTGCCCCCCGCCCCCCCGTCCCTTGCAACTAGATTGAAAGCAGTGACTGGCCTTGGAGCTGAGCTGTGCCCTCCACAACTAAGATTGAAGGACAACAACTTGACTTGGAGTGGATGGGTTCTGGAAAAACACAATGTTCCTTTCCCCAATTCCCCAATAAAATTAAAAAAAAAAAATAGGGGTGGAGAGGAAGCATCACACAATAGTAAATAAACGAACTATTTATTTCCTGGGAAATCCTGTATTGAAGATCAAGGTAAGGCACAATTACTTAACACCAGGATTTAATGCGGTATCTGCAAGAACAAAGGAAAGTGTCATCTTTCCTTTGTGTCATATCAGTGTCATCTGCTTTGCCTTTTAAAATTTGTAGTCTATGTATGAGTCACTTAGTAATGTCACCTTTAAAAAAAATTTTTTTTATTGGGTAACTGGTTTTTCCAGGACCCATCAGCCCCAAGTCAAGTCTTTGTCCTTCAATCTAGTTGCCGTGGGCACAGCCCACCATCCCATGTGGGAATCGAACCGGCAACCTTGTTGTTAAGAGCACGTGCTCTAACCAACTGAGCCATCTGGCCACCCAATAAGTCACCTTTTTATCCATGAAATTTATGTGATTTTTCACAACATAAAGTAGACTCTTGACTATGTTATTTTTGCTCCAGTCTTAGGATTCTCATTGCCTCTCCACCCACACCACAGTAGTTGCACTACCGAGATTTACTGTAATATTTGCAACAGAGCAGATTGTACTGTCATCACTCACTGCATACAAGAACAGAGGAAAGGAGATAGCTATTGCCCTTATCCAGAACAGAAACTCAAGGCCTAGGCTAAAAGGAGACATTGGGAATAGAGAAGAAGGGACAGATTTGAGAAACATTTAGAAGTAGAATAAACATCATTTCTTTGTGATGGATGAGATGTGAGTGTTAGGGAAGAGTTAAGGATAGTTCTCTAAATCCAAAGTTTCTGGCTTGGGGAACCATGTGTATAGTGACACCATTAACTGGACTTAGCATATATGAGAAATTGTAAGTTTTGAGTAAATTTGAGAATAAGAATAATGGAAGTCAGAAGAGAAGATTAAAGATTGAGATTTGGAAATATTAGCATATAGAAGATAATTGAAATCATGGATCCAAACCATGGATGTGGATGAGAATCAGAGACGGGAAGCATATAGAAATAAGAGAAGAGGGCTAAGGATCAGAGGAGATACCTAGTCACAAAGGAATGGTCTGAATAACAAGAAAATAGTTTTTTGAAACCTAGAGGAATTAGAACTTTAAGGAATAAGATGCTGGTAGTGTCAAATGCTGCAGACAAATAAGGTATATTCCAATTGAGACGTGGCAATTTAGTAACAGGTGAATTTAGAGCAATTTCAGTGAGGTGGGGATGGAGGTTGGCCGTATTAGGTTGAGAGATGAGATAAGGAGGAAGATGGGAAGTAGCTTTAGAGCTGATAAAACCAAGAAAAGGAGTTTTGATGGTTTTAGGTTGGGGGAAATGTAATCATATTTATAGACTGAAAGGAAAAAGGCAGAGAAAGGTATTGAAGATAGAGGAATGAGAGGGGATGTTTGTGAAGTGAGATGCTGGGGGAGAATGAGAGCCAGCCTGATGGAGGCAATAAGAGTAGATAAGAGGTGATTGCTTCATTTTTTCATAGAGGAGATAAAATCAAGGCCATCCATTGAAAGTGAGATGGGACGGGGCCAGCCGAGTGGCCCGTTGGTTAAGACCTGGTTTGGGACGCCAGCTCTGAGCAGCAGAGCCCCGGTTCGGATCCCACAAGGGGGCCTGTGATGCTGTGCCCTCTACAGCTAAGATGGTGAGCAACAGCTTGGCCTGGAGCTGGGCTGCAGTGAGTCACCAGCGATGATGTAGGCTGCACCCCTGCTGCAGTGGGCTGCCATAAGCTACACTANAATAATAATGTGGTGATTAAAATTGGATGTGATGGTCAAATTAAGATTTCTGTCCAATGCAGGTTAGAAAATCCCTTCTGGCCCTTTTGGGCTCTATTTCTTTTAATATACTGAAATATGTTTGCATCTGGCCAGTACCTCTCCATCTTTATGTTTATTTTAAGTATTTTGTTCTTACGCACAGTATCTTCACTTTTCATTGAATTTTAATTGTTTTGAAGGGAACAAAATTTTTTTGTCACAGTAATTTGTAATTTTATATTTGTCTTCCAGAAATTAACAACTATCCTGGTTTAGCATCACCTGCATATCTGAGCACATGTCAGCTCCTTCCATTATATCCTAAGGATATTGAATGGCATGAAATCCAAGACCATTAATGACTGACCTTTTGGTGTCACTTTCAAACCATTCGTACATTAACAAGACCATACTTTCCCAGTTTGTAGTTGAGAACATAATGTTACATAGACTAAAATAACTCATTGAAAGGAAGAGATATCCTTGTGGTAACTGAATCAATCTCTCCTTTATATACACATACATACACCTGATATATGCATATATATATATATATGATTTTTTTTGTTTTCATCTGCTGACAGTTACTCTCTTTTGTGCCTGGCATTATGCTATAATTTTCCCCTTATGTATATACCCTATTACGCATGAATAGAACCAAGTGGATCTGACATTTGTTCAGTGGAAAACTACAGTGATTGCCTCACAGTATTTAATACCCTTTGCAAGCAAGCAGTTTGATTATGTGATACAGTATTTTCCTAAGTACTGTTAAATTGATGTTAAATTGGTGGGTTGTTTACTTCTAGGGACATTCTTAGTTGAAGATAGAAACATTATTTGTCTTTTCCAAAATCTTGATAATCAGCAGGAGTCTATTTAGTACCCTGTGTGTGTCCAGTAATCGCTGCTGTCCTTGACAATCTGGTGGTTAGAGGGCAAAAGTAAATGATAAATAAGTGTCCTCTTTCATTCAGGTGGAAAACATGCATGTTGACAGTTCACACATGACATAGTATAGAAGCAAGTGTTGAATTACAACACAGGAGTATAGATTTAAACTGATAAAGAATTTCAGAGGATGGAGAAATTAGATGGGCCGAAGTTGTCAAGATGACTTCAGAGAGGAAGTTGATCTTGAAAAGAAGACAAGGTTTGCTATCAGGCAGCTACCTGTGGAGCATAAACAAAAGCAAAGCTGTGACATTTTAGAACTTGTGTTAATCCTCAGTCAGAACACCATGATTTCGTTCTTTATTAGAAAGTGTAGTGCCTGGGAATAGTCCCTATTTATGCAGGCCATGTGTGAATATTTCTGTAGTCCTTCTAATTTGTAACCTGAAATTAGCACTCAGGAAAATGTCTGTAAAGACCAGACTGTAAACCAGTGAGCATGGGTTTATATATTACAATTTGTTAGTAAAACATGTAAGATTCTCAGTGATCAGATAAAGCATATTTTAAAAACTGTTAGTAATTTACAGAATATACATATTGTTCAATTTTTAAAGAACATAGCTTCCCTTTGTTTGGAATAATGGTGTGTCATATTGCTGTGTATGCATCTTCATGTCCACATTTGTGCTTTCTTTCCTAGTCTCCATCGCACCCAGGAACTGCTCTATGAAAGCACCAAAGACTTTCTGCAACTCAGATTTGAAAACCAAAATAAGGAGAAGTCATGGATGCTTGAAAAGGATCATTTGATGTCAAAAATTAAGCAATACAGGGTACAGTGTAAGAAGAAAGAAGATAAAATTGGAAAAGTTTGGCCAGTTCATGAGAGTCATTATAAGCCAAATGAATATATTAAGGTAGTTTCTGTATATCTTATAAAAATTATATGTTTTTCTGGAAGAGTTGAAAAAATTCAGAATTCCAAAGAACCTATAAGAATTGTCACACAAGATCCATTCGGTACAGGAAGCAGATGTAGCAACAACCTCAAGAAATAGATTTCAAAGAGTAGCTCTTCATTACAGTGTTTAGGGATTTAGGAAATGAAACGATTGATTGATTGATTGATTCATTCATTCATTTATTCAACAAATATTTATTTCACTCCTACGGGCTGGGCTCTGGGGCTACAGCAGTAAATAAATGAAACCAGATCTGCCTTCATGGCATTTACATGTTAATGGGTGAGAAAGAACAGAAATATTAACCAAGAAAATGTAGATTGTTTTTAAAAAGGTATTAAGGAATTAAAAGGAGTATTTGAAGAGTATATGTAGTTACTGGAAATCTAGTTTTGTAGAAAAGCACAAGGACACTTTTAAGCCTGGTGTTTTTACTGAGACCTGAAAAATGGGACTGAGCTTGCCATACAGACCTAGGGGAAAAGCAAGTTTAAACTGGAGTCTGCTAAAGAAGGAAGTGGTACCTAAGGAGGTTGGAGGGGCAGTGCTCAGTGATTGGCAGCTGTTCACCCTCCAGTCTCCTTGTGCGTACCACTTCCTCCTTGCTTGTTTCTCTATAACCCTGACATCCTCCTTCCCCTTGAACGTACGCCAGGGCCTTTAAACTTGCTCTTCCCTCTGCCTAGAATGCGCTTCCCCTGGGCCTGTATGTAAGGAAGCAACATGAT